AATAACGTTTTAATGAAAACTGACTCTTTTAACTCCTCGCTTAACTGCTGTTAATTAATTAAATCCGAAATTAAATTAATTAATGTGTTTTTAATAATATCAAAATTCAACAGGAAGAGCAGCTAGCCATCTTCTCCTGTCTTCGTTTGATTCACGCTTCAAGGTGGTAAAATATTGTTTTTCCTAATTAATATATATATTAATTAAATATACATTAATTCAGATTAATGTATGTTAATTGATTATTAAATCACATGAATCTATATGATCGATTATGTGTTTATGTGAATCGTTCGTTGATCATTTTTATTATTTTATTTTATTTCGCGAGCACGCTATGATGATTTAATTTATGTTATTTAAATTAATTATATATGCAATCATGTATGTCGGTGATTGGAAGCGAAAACGTACGCAATTAATTGTTATTATGCACGTGTTTATTTATATAAATTAGATTATATAAATTAAATAAAAAAAAATGTTATTTGTTGTGTACACGTGCCTGATCGCCAACAATTAAACCATACCGATGTACTGAATTTAGTCCTAAGAATTACAATTGTTGTAGTTAGCATAAAGATTAATGCAATAATTGCACATAGTGAAGACCTCCCCTTAGGTCCAATAATATATCTCTGTCAATAGTTGTGAGCCTTATTTCTCCATTGCCTTTTAGCTAACTCCTCAATTCCAAATCGTTCACTTTCTTCAGTAACTACACCATTTTACAGGCCTAAAGTTTGGCAATTCAAATGGAGAGTGGGTATTTCCTCCCGTGAGTATAGATAGGCAAAGGTAATGATAGTTTTTATTGACCTACAAAAAAAATGAAGACTCCCTTAAAATTTGTCTACCATCATTAAAATTAATGATGAAAATATGCTCACCAAATTTCTCATTGAGTGGCTCGTCTTTGTTTGCCTTCAGCGAAAATTCCTGCTACCGTGTGTGTTGAGTCTGCTATTGCAAGTTGCTTTTGTTTACATTAGCTATAGTATCTACTTCGAACCATGTGTAGCACGCAGTAAATACATATTTTGTATCTGTAATGTCATGATATTACCAATATATGATTTACTTAAATTGTTTAGCGAGAATCCTTGTTATTTAGTTTAATCAATTCCCGGATAGAGGCCTCCATTTACGATGCATCCTGACCATACTTTTTCAATTGATTAGAATGATAAGTGGAAAGGCTTTTAGCACAAACCCCCGGATTTAGGGTTGATGTTCTTATTTTGAAAGATAACCTCATTTCTTAACTTTCATATAAGCCAGAGAGGAATAGCCAACAACGCTTGTCTAAAAACACAAATTCACAAAACGCTGATTAGTCCACTCCCAAAAGTATAATGTAATGAATCAACCCATTATAGTTACTTTGTAGAACGTGTGTAGAACATTCATAGAGTGCTCTAAAACAATCACTTCCAATTGTATGAATAATCAAGCAAAACAATCCATTACAAAGGTGAAATAATATGTATGATTAAATCAATCAACACTATCTATTAGGAAGGTAAAATAGTATAAATGAAAGTTTTTTTTTTATTAACCAACCAATAGAACTTGTAAACATATATTATCTATAAAACTAACTTAGGGGTTTAGGGGTTTCCTTTCATTTTATTTACTTACACAAGTGACTTGATATAATATATATTATCATAATATGGTTGAGAGGAAAAAATGATCGGAAGTATAGTAGAGAGAAAATAAATTATTGAAAAAGTATTATTGTGAGATGTATTAAAAGTAATGGGGGTGGGGTACGGGAGAGGGAGGAGCCAAAAGTAGGGCGAATCAAACTTCACTTGTGTTCTACCATATTATTACCTAATATGTTTGTGTCCGGAATCAATAATCAATTTCATCGGCGACAAACGTAAGTTTTAAATACAACAAATCCAAGAATGTATTTTCTGGTTAATTTAATTATTTATTTTAAGTCTATTTCACTGATTTTACTTCCCATATATTTGTCATTATCAAACAACGAGACAAACAACGAGTCAAGACTTGAGATCCAACTTCCAATGTTCTAAATATCGGTCGTGTCAGCCGCCATATCGGTGGCGCTCGTAACACTTTACGAGAGGTGGTTCCAAAAATTGAATTTTGGAGGGTGAGTCAATTTGAGGCGGTGTGTGACGGTTTGAGGAAGGTCAAATCGATATATCAAGTTAAAAATAGATTTTCATTAACAACCAAAATAAAGAAAAAAATTACTGTATACGACAAGTCAACGAAATTAAAGGAAAAATTAATGTATATGACAAGTCAAATCGATATATCGGTTTGCGGCGGTGTGTGACGGTTTTTATTGCTTTTTTTTTTTTGATTTGTTGACGAGTCAACGTAATTATATTATTGTCATTGACGGTAAAATAACTGTCAACACAATTATATTACTGTCAACCACATCAATATTATTTTTTTGACTTTTTTGTTTTGTTTGAGTTGTTGACGGATTAACGTAATAATATTAATGTCTACTATTGTAATATTACTGTAAACACAATAATATTAGTGTGGTTGATGGTATTATTACTGTAGCAACAGTAAAATTATTGTGGATGACAGTAATATTACTGGCAACCAAATCAATATTAATTCTTTTGAGTTTTATTATATTTACCATTGTTGAACAGTCAACATATTAATATTACTCTATTAGGACATCTCCAACCTTAAAAGTTAAAAATGGACATGTTATAATTTTTTTTTATCATTTCAACAAGGATTTAACATGCCATTTTTTACCACCACCTTCAACCAATTCATTTATAATTTACCATTTTATTATATTTTATTATTTTTTTTATTTGAATATAATATATATATTTGTACATGTATTCTCACAATTTTATGGGGGATTGTGGCATGTTAAGTATTATTATAATATATTTTCAGATACCTTTCGTGAACAAGGAGTGATATATATATCATTTGAATCTTCAACTATTACGGGCCATATAAATTATATCACTCCCGTTGGAGCAAGTTTTTTTGTTCAAAAATGGTAAAAATGTTAAAATATAACTTTTGGCTTCCCAAAACCAAGAAAAGGTTGGAGATGCCCTCACACAAGAATAATGACTTTTATTGTGTTACTATTACTATGCTAGAGATTAACATAGCAATATTACTGTGTTAAACTGTAGTATAGTTAATATTACTGTGTTTAACAGTAATATAGTTTATAGACTGTCAACCACATCAATACTGTTATTTAAATTGGGCAAAAAGATATTAAAAGAAGAAGAAAAAATTCAATTATTCAAAAAAAAAAAAAAATCAACGCTGGAGATCGGCGGTCAACAGTGGCGACGGGCGAAATTGTACTCAAAATTGAGTTTTGAGTCAAAATTGAATAACTTGTGAACTTTAGTGTCAAATTGAGGTTAAATTAAATTAAACTATAAAATTGGAGCATATGAAAATGTGAGGGGTTATTTTAGTCTTTTACATACCTCCGAACAATGTGTGAACTTTTTTGTAAAAGAGTTTTTTGTCGGGATCCTTTACAAATAATTTGTAATGTTGCCATTATTTTTCTACTTCTTTTGTATGTCGGGATCACATTTTCCTCACTTGAAAATTATAGATATTTTTCCATCAGAAAAATAAGTAAGACCATTCCTCATACAATCCTACTTACTTTCCATATATACGAAATCACCAAAATCCTGTTATTTGATTGTTTAGACTTACTATTAGAGTGCATTTGGATGGAAGGATTTGGGGAAGGGATTTCAAATCCATAATAACAAATCCCTTGGACTTGTTTGGATTGAGGGATTTGGGGATGGATTTCAAATCCACACCCCTCCTTTTTAGTTATGTTTTGAGCAATTGAGGTGGATTTCAAATGACTCCAAAATTGGAGTCATTTCAAATCCCTTCCCCAAATCAAATCCCTCCCCAAATCCTTCCATCCAAACGCACTCTTATATTGTTTAACGTGATCAATGTATAATATTGTCATATATCAAATATTCAAGTAACAATAAACAAGTATTTTTGGGACTTTTTTCAAAGCTTTAAAATCGAAAGAACAACTCGTTGAATGACGTGGTTCGTACGGTACGGTACGAATAAGCTAAATGATATTTAAAGAAGAGTTTAAATTCTCACCCGATGAGTTGATTATGTACAATAATCGGATTCCATTCATATTATGCCACGTGGATAATTTAATTAACAAACTCTAAATATAAGTAAACTAAATTAAATTACCATAGTTGTAAATTTAGGGTTAACACTAACATTTCAAAAAAGGGTTAACAACTAACGAAATAATAATAATAATAATAATAATAATAATAATAATAATAATAATAATAATAATAATAATAATAATAATAATAATAATAATAATAATAATAATAATAATAATAATAATAATAATAATAATAATAATAATAATAATAATAATAATAATAATAATAATAATAATAATAATAATAATAATAATAATAATAATAATAATAATATAAAACCTTATGTCCAACGGACGGGTTTTCGGGTTTTGGGTTTTGGGTTTTTTGGGGTTTCGGGTTTTTCGGTTTCGGGTTTTTTTGGGTTTTGGGTTTTTCGGGGTTTCGGGTTTTGGGGTTTCGGGTTTTTTCGGGTTTTGGGTTTTTCGGGGTTTTGGGTTTCGGGTTTTCGGGTTTCGATTTTCGGGTTTTGGGTTTTTTGGGTTTTTGGGTTTCGATTTTCAGTTTTCGGGTTTCGATTTTCGGGTTTTGGGTTTTTGTGGGTTTTTGGGTTTCGGTTTTTGGTTTTCGGATTTCGGATTTTCGGGTTTCGGGTTTTTGTAGTAATTTTTTTATAATTTGAACAATTATATTTTTTTTCCTAAATTGTTGTTGGCTGAATAATTTTGGAGAAAAAGTTTTATTTTTTTATTAGTTTTTGTGTTTTGTATTGAATGGGCAAACCCACTTGTATATATAATATTGGCAAGAGAAATTTGAGGTATGTCCACATGTCAGTTTGTTAGTGAAATTCGATTATTGTCTTTTAGAGGCCCATCCGGTCTGAATGATCACCCTTTAAAGAAAGATGAGTTCTAAACTATATCCCATCATAACTTTCTTACACACTTTACAAGAAATATACAAAATAAGCCTAGCATTTCTCTTTCGGCAGTATAAAACGTGGAAAAAAATAAAAAATCATTGTATAAATGTCCAAGAACGCTATTGTTATGCACAATCAAGATCTGTGTTTCTTCTTCGCAGCAAGAATTGGCTGAATATGTAACCTCCTGCTAAACGCCTCATTGAAAAGGAATCGAGTCTGAAAAGCCGAAATTATAGGGAGCCAAGCTAAGACAGCTAAAGGCGCAAAAAGAACAACCCCCATTCCATAATCGTACGCCCGTGCAAAGACCCTAGTGAAGTGCCAAAATCCAGTTCCTTCAATCTTTGGTCTAAAGGTTTGTCCAACCTAAGACCAACAATTTGCAATAAAATCAGGACTAATAATTCCGAAAGAGGAAAGCAGAATATACAAGCATGCATTTAATATGAACTAACCAATATCAAGCCCCAACCGGTAGGAAGAAAAGCCAGGCAACAAACAATCAGATCCCTCAAAGATAGATGACAAATGAGTGAGAGAGTTACTATCGTAGCCAATACGCCCAAGAAAAGAAACGCTTTGAATAGTCGAAACGCCAAGTGATGATTAGCGCTTAGATATTGCTTCCCCACATTCACTGTCTGCGTAGTTTCATCAAACAAGAAGCTTATTATGAAAATGAAAAGGTGTAAAGTTATCTTTAAGCTGGCAAATAAACTTGCTACTTTTTGAGGAACATTGTAAGAGAATTATATTAGGAGTGAATTGCAAAAACACCCCTTATATTCTTTCAAATTGCTAAAAACATTCACATTGTTATTTTTTTAGCATAAATCGCCTTACGCTACATCTTTTAGCGTACGATTTGCTTTTAACTTTCTATTGGAAGATAATTTATGCTAATAGAAAATAACAGGGGGGTGTTTTTGACAATTAGAATAAATATAGAGGTGCCGAATGAAAAAAACTCATTATAATGAAAAGAAAATTGCAGGGTATTTACCTTGAGTATGAGGAAAATGACAACTATAACGATCCACGAGAGAACATAGACGACAAAGTTTTTGTTGTGTCCAGATATATCAAGGTGGTAGACCAAACCATATTGGTAAAGAAAGAATCTCAGCGAAAGAAGTAACTCTATTATTCGCGAAGTGATTCCAGAGTGAAGGAGATGAGCTTGCTCCTCGATCCACCAAGATTGCCAGCTTTTATCTTGTTGAATTCCGATCCCGCCCTGCTGTTTAATCCATTTGTTCCAATCTTTCCAATCATCCACTATCTTGCCCCAATCAAATCCGGAAGGATTAAATAAAAACGGCGCAAAAAGCCACGTCAGCGACATGAACCATATCGCGTACGTTATCAACACATAAGCCACACTGCTTTGGTACGAACGTCTAAACAAGTCATAGACGATTAGCAGAAGAAGAAGCTCAAATCCTTTCACAAAGTGACTGCGTGAATACAATCTATAGCTTTCGGTAAAGCTGGAATGGAAGACCACCACCTTTCGGCCCGTAGGCCTGTATTTGGCACCACCGTGAAGAATTGTTCGCCCGTAGTAATGGGATTTTGTGCCGTAAGAGAATGTGAAGAAAACGGCAGCTAATTGAAGTTGCATGAGAACGAAATCTTTGAGGGCATTTAAAAATCCTCGTTCGAGTCCAATCTCTATAACCATCGGCAAACCCGTTAAGAGCCCAAGCTGTATAAATGATTGAGAAGCTAATGCCGTTTCAAGAGATTTTATGTTTTTGACTTTGGCCTCAAGAAGTAGTGCTTTCTGAAGACCACTAAGGACCAGATACAGCTGCCCGTAGAGGAATACATACACTCCAATCACGGATATCTGCAAAGTCGGAGGATAAAATATGTTTTGCAAAATTAATCAGCATAAAAACTCGTAATGTGATTTTCACAATAGCTGCTTACCAGGCTGTTAAAATAAAAGCCAACGGTTGTGAAATAAAAGGAAAGCATTCGAAAGAAGTCAAATCGACGGCCAAGGCGGTATATATCACGGCTAAGAGTTTGCTCACTGTTCCCATTTGCCACTTTGGCTTCAAATTTGGAAATTTGGTTAAGTCCAACATCACGGCCTTTGCCAACTTGCATGTACTCATGATACGTAACAAATCCCCTCCGCAGTGTGGTATTGAATCCTATATATAATGTATAAGTTTTCATTAAGACTTCAAATTTAAAAAGGATATTTTTTGGGAAATATTAACATAGAAATTTTTAGGCCAAATCTCACTAATAGTCCCTCATTTTAGTGTTTAGTCCCACTTTAGTCCCTCATGTCCCAATTGTCTCATTATCATCCTCCAACTCTACAATATATCTCAATATAGTCATTAGGTGTATAATTTAGTTAACTTTAATGGAATCTTTTAATATAATTGAATTAGTTTTTTAAATATTAACACAAGATCATAAAAAATATAAATAATTTTTTGATATAGAATATATGTAGATGACATATTATAATTTTTTAAATACGTTTCTAAATTCAAGTCATATATCCACAAAATCAATGATTCGTTTTATATTAATATAAATTAATATTTTGTAAAAATAGTAGTTTTTTAAGTTATATATTTATAAGTTATATTTTTGTTGGTTGCAAATATTAATTTTAAATTACAAACTTTATTGTTTATTGAAAAAAGTCATAATTTGTCAAAAAATATTCTAACGGAATATTCCATCCATTTTGTAAAAAGATTCTGTTAAAGTTAACAGGTTTATACACCAAGGGATGATAATGAGATGGATTCTAGAGATGAAGGATGAAAATGAGACAGTTAAGACATGAGGGACTAAAGTGAGACTAAATGTGAAGATGAGGGACCATTAATGAGATTTGGCAAAAGTTTTATTTGTACCTACCTGCATATACATCTTCACTTAAATTTATGGTCTTTGATGCCTTGCTTATGCCACCTCTTGTTAAGTGGAATATCCTGTCGAACAAATCTGGATGTCCATAATGGAATCTAACCCTGCATAGTGAATCAAAATTCAAGTCCGAAATTTTCATTTCTCTTAATAATTTAGTTAATCATTTTCGTTTGCTGATTTATTTTCCCTAACATTATTTTCGAACAATTTAAAAACTTCCTCAATTGAAATTTATGTCTATAGTGCTTTTTAGCATGGTTGTATATTTAGTTACCCTAGTTTTGCAAATAAATCTTTAGTAGAGAAACGCTTATGAGAATTCGACTACGCTTTGTAAACAAATACTTAGAATTCAAATCAACAAAAAATATTAATAAGAAGACTTAAAAAGTGAAACAATATGTTTTGTTATGTTTTGTTATTGAAATTTTCTATATACCATTTTTTCGTTAAATGCCCATTTCTTTTACTAATGTGACAAAATGAGATTTAACAGTGACACAATAGTTGATGATGTGGGATGAACACAAATATATAAGTTTAAGTAACAATGAAACTTATAGATGAAACATACAAATTGCTTACTTTAGAGGATTTGCTAAAAGTCTTTGTCCAATTGTCACAAAGCTCGTCTCTTGATACGACATGAACCACGCCAAAGAAGAAACACTGGAACAGTATAAAATGTTAGTTCGCAAAAATATTTATACAACTTGATGTTGCCTCATTTTTTTTTTTTTTGGTTTATCTTTTTGGTCTCTTTCAATTCTTCTTACATTATCGATTTGCGTATGTTATAAAGAAATCGCATAGGATCTAACCTTCCTGTGAATATGTGTTCTCTCATGCCAAGAATAGTAGGAGGGCTCCTCCTTCGAACTCGTAAAAATTCTTGCAATAAATTTCTCATCTTAAGAGCTTCTTCAAGATAATTATCCTGCCACACAACTTTTATTACAATGATATTCCAAGATTAATAAAAGCTTAAAGCCGAGGAAAAGCGAAGAAAAAATCTGAGGTTGTACTTGGTTCATATCAATTGTTTGAAGAGCTTCACCACGTGTGAAAATTATTGCATGGTTTTGATTTTCAGGTTTTCCTTCGCCAATACCTGGTGGTCCCGGCAGCTTTATTCGATAGATCTCCTACAATAAGTTACCCGATAACTAAGACAAGCGCAAATCCAAAATATTACGATATATTATTTTTACTTCATCCAAATTGTTGATGAGATTATTTTCTTATTACCTGGTCAAAACCATTAACAGCTTTGAGTAGGATAGAAGAATAAACAGGCCTACCCGCCTCAATCTCTTCTCTCTCCTCGACATAAGCAACACGCAAACAGGGATACCTATGAGCATTATGAGTCAACACTCACCGTAAATTTTCAAAAGTTTGTAATTAACGGAAAAGCTTCCATTTTCCAAATATATCTCCTAAAACGAAAAATTACCTTTTCATCAAGTCAAGTATGTCTTGAGCCTGAGGGTCTCCAGTCGATTTTTGCAATCCATATATTTGACATGAAACAACGTGAGTGAATTTCATGTCTACTAAGGCATCGAGTTGCGCTGATAATGTATCGTCTGCCCTTTCAATGGCCTCATAATTTTGAAGAATATCTGTGCGAATATCATATATATGTGAATTATTTTCCTCACTCAAATGATTGGAAAGTATGAGATAATATTGAATAATTGAAGAAACAAACCATCATCTTCAGCCATGTCAAGAAAAGCTTGTAACTTTAGAGCTTTCCTGTAATACATCATTCCTCTGACTGCAGTTTGTAACACGAAAAAGGATTATAAGTAATGCTTATTTATCGAATGTCGAAAATTTTATTTCACAACTTACTGGTTCTGCTTAGAGTTTGCCCTCGAAAAGAAGCCCAATCTCTTACATCTTCCTCATTGACTTCATCTTCAAACTCGTCTACCTTTTCACTTCCCATGCGCTCCAGAAAATTTTCCCACTCGTCTGGAAATATCTTTTGCATATAGAAGCTAATGGAAACCCCTTCTTTGCTTGAGTGAAGCTCCTTTTTCGAGAACTTGACTTCTTCCATGTAGTGTGGAGTCAAGACACTGCAAGGTGATGAAAACTTATGGTGACGTCTAATATGAACCAAAGTGTAGTTTCAAATTTTCAATCTACATAGCAACGAGGAAATCGAAAAAAAAAAAAAACCCAATAAAACATAGTAAAATGTGAAATGATACAGAACAATATACAATGAGAAAATACCTGAATGACAACATATTTCGCACTTTTGGAGCTTTAGGCATATCCATAAAGAGGGAAGTAGCGAAAAATGAAATCCGTCTTCGAGCTTCCAGGTTTGAGGGTATATACATTGCTTTATCTTTCACAGTGAGTAGCAAATGGAAACGCTTAACCTGTCATCCAAAAGCTTCGTCAGTTTCAGTTACTTTTCCTTAAATGAATCTGTTTTGAACATGTTTACGAGCTTCGGCGATGTAATATTTGACACAATTTCCAGATAAAAACCAAGGAACCAAAAGGTTTACATATTTGAATTAAATAAAAAGATACCTTCTCTATCAACGGACCAGAATCTGGTAATGGGAAATGAATGGAATGCATTGAAGCAAATAACTCCGGCTCCAAAGATCTGAAGAAATCGGCAGTGTCTCCCTCTAGTTGTTGGTCAACGTTGAGCAAATCCATTGTTCTTGTGCATAAAGAGTTACGTAAATTCAATGAAGTGGAGAAAAAATGGAGCTGATGTAACGACAAAAAAATGGAAAAGTTTAGAGAATGATCAATAGAATAGCAAACCTGGATCCATTTACGAGCAAATCAGTTGTTACAAGCTCAAATATGTCTTGAAGCTTCTTCACAACTTCATAATGATGATCTTCATTACCCTCGACCTTAATTGAAGTGTCACGTTAATATGCCATCGAACCTTAATTTATTGGACATAAACCGAGTTTGTGTATAGATATTACCAGAAGCTCGATCAACTCAGTGCATTTAGCATGTAAAGCTGGTAATTCGCTCATCTTCAGGTCCTTGAGGAGTGATGAATTTTTAATGCTTTCCTCAATTTCATCGACTATACCAGCTATAATCCTGTAAAAAAATGACATCAATAGAACAGCAGATTAAAACCGACTGAAGTAGAGAAATAAAATTACGAAATAACACACAGATTTGCAAAATGAGAATTAAAAACTGATTTACGAAATAAAGAGTCATAATGTACCTTCTCTCGATGTCACCCACCACGAGGATATCCAAGATGTACTTCAGTGATTCGTAACATTCAGTTACAGCCATGTACATGTACTTATCCTTTTTTATCCTTTTCAATAAACTCTCATGTTTTCCAACAAAATCTCTAGCAATGCTAAGAGCTGTTGATAACTGTATAAAAAAAATAAAAAAAATAAGGTAAGGCAAGTCATAACTTTATCATAAATTTATGTACGAGACTATGAAGAAGTTTGATTAAATATTTTACCTTATTTGCTAACAGAAACACGGGCCAGCGGACTTGATTAGAAAGTAATTCAGATGAGACAGGTATTTTCATCAAATGCATTTCCCTGGATAGTAACACATGCGGATATTACATATTCCTTCTATTAACCCCAATAAGTAAACCAGAAAAAAAAAAAAAAAAAAAAAAAAAAAAAAAAAAAAAAAAAGGGAAACGGTGAGGCATAAACAACCTGTTGCTTATGAGGTCCTCATCACGAAAGCTACTTATAATTTGGTTCCATACAATGGCAAACTTCAATACTCCACCTTTTTTGTTCTCTAAACCCTGAAACCATCCTAATTAAGATCGTAGAACTAAAAAACAAGCTCTTATAAGTTCAGTTTATATAAAAAAACCTGGAAAAAAAAAACAAGAAGTACCTTTAGAAACCCGGGGGTGCAAAGCCACATGAGTCCTTTGTTATCTTTTGTTTCAGGTGGCAAAAGGCAATCATTAAATACTGAGGGCAAAGTGTCGAATTTACTTCGCAACATTCCCTGAGTGCGAATCTTTTTGAAACCAAAATGATTCAGAGTATCAGTATTATACTTTGTTATGGTAAAAGAAACAAAAAAAAAAAAAAAACAAAAACAAAAAACAGAAATGGGGCTTACTTCACCAAGATGGTGCAGAATCCCGTAAACTCCACCAAATACAGAGCAGTAAACAGAATACCATATTTGTGCATCCATGAAATATACCTGAATGAAGAGAACAGAAAAGCTCGTTATCATACACACATTGATGGTCGAAAAATTGATTGCAATTAAGACACTTACAAGGATAATAGGAGACCAAATAGCTGCAATGGCTCCAGCATTACTCTTGACTATATATTGAAAATTCTTATCAGATGATATGAGGAAGCTAAACAGCAAATATAGTCTTTATCGTGTTAGGTGCATAAAAGGACCAGGCTGCAGACACCGTTACGTACCTTTAGGGAAAAGCTCATGCCAGTCGTAGTTTTTAACCCCAATCGTCATGATATGTCTTGTTGGCGCTATAAGTGGTTTTATCTGCAAATGCCATAAAATGTAAAAATACAAGCCTTAATAAGCCTACTTCACATGTTTGTAATCAATATAATTTAATAAATTTTACTTCGTCTCAATAAAATAGGCAGTTTACTAAAACCAGCTTTTCATATGCATTATAGCATAAAAAATTGTACTGTAAATTATTTGTCCCTGCTGACTCTGAAATTTCTAATATTTAAGTCGGTAACTACGAGTTGTGCATTCAGGGAAGAAAAAGATTACGTGGACTTTTTGAAGTTCAACTCCTCTTAGGATGTCCAAAAAGGCAAATTAATACAATAACGATGAGTACGGTCGAAGTATTTACAAATAGCAGATAGTGATTCATTGATAGAAAAATTGATCTATCAATGTTTGCGACAAGCCTTACAAAAAAATGAGATCAAGTAAAAAAAAAAAGCAATTATGTTCACCTCAAATGTATAACTGAATGATAATTTGCTCAGTAATAAGAGCACCCAGAATAACGTGTACCTAGATCAACACAAAACATAGACCACTTGTTAGATGAAATAAATCATAAAAAACCACATAGTTCAAAAAGTGTTGCTGCAGAGATTTCGGAAATACTTGAGGAGAGATACTTGGCTCTCTTGCATTCCTCTTCCCACGTATAATTTAGGCTACAAAATGTGGATGAATTCACAACATGTCACTAACGCCATATATACAACATCACACAAACAATTTCAAGATATACTTGTTATTCATTCTTATTATGAAATAAAAACCCTGGGAAAGCACATGAAAATGACAAAATCGTAAAAAAATTGAACATAAAAATAAGACAATGAATTATTATGGAAAATAAAAAAATGCTCAAAGCTAATTAACATTACATTCATAAATATTCTACAACTTTTCGCCATTGAAGCATATTTTGGTACGTTACAGTCGATATCTTTTAACGATCAGTTTCATCAATTAAAAATTGAAGTAAGCAATAATAATAAACTGAAGTTGTACCTGTCCCCACCAAGACAAGACTGCACAAATCCGACTGTTGGATGTCTCAATATATTTTCCAACTGAGGGCACAAGAAAGAGGACCATATTGACTGCATTACTAATCAAGTAACACGAAACTGCTACCATGTACGAAGAATAGCACCACTCTCCAAGCCAGCTCCCATCTTGTGAAGAATAACAGGTATATTTTTTTCTAGAACTAGAATAATATATCGGAAGAACAATTGTCCATATCATAGCCCACATTATCTTCAACACATCTTTCCTATGCCGATTCGAGTTCATTGTACATCTAGCTTTCCACGTGAACACAACGTCAAGAATCGCTGCAAATCAGATATTTACAATAATTTAAATATAAATTTTATTATTTTAATTTTATCTAACTAGGCTGATTTAGATAACGCGGATTCTACTTGTTATTAACCTTGGATAAGTTTAAGAACTGCTGATGTGATGAAGATGCTCATAACATCCTCAACTACCGATGCATCAAACACTTGCAAAGGAGATTCCACCTCATGGCACGCCATAATTATCATCGCCTAACAGAAATTAAAAGTAAATGTTCAGTGTACTGACATTACAGGAAAGCATAAGAGGCAGATTTTGCCTCCAAATAAAAAATTTACCTGAAGGGATAAAATAAGGAAACTCCACATTCTATCAAAGCTTCTGAAAATCTGCCAAAACGAACGGATCTCTGCAAAATTTGTCTTCCCTAACCACTTCTGTTCTGGCGGTTCATCTACAGTGGCTTGAGGCTGACCCTAACATAATAAGTTCATAGCCGAAGATAAATTAATAATCAATAACATGAGTTAAGACAATCACTTTCCAACAAACACGGCAAGGTCTACACTATGCCGTCTCTTTGCACATAGAGTAGAAAAAAGATGAATAGTTAATTGCAGCAAATATCATGTCCAGGCATACAAGAGAAAACTACTACATGTCTTCTAAGCATAGAAATCTGTTTACAACACTATGCACAGGTAATATTAGAAGTAAGCTTACTCCCATTTCTTCATCTTCATTGTTATTAATTGTCTCCTCTTCTTCTTGAGTTTTCACTTTTCTTTGAGATTTCTTCTTTTTGGAATCATCTGGAGGGTGTACGCAAAAGAAATCATGATCCAGACGCATGGGCCAACCTATTTGGAAGCAATCTGGAGACCTAAAGTTTGAGTGAGAACACAACAACTTCTAAAAACAATAGCTGATCAACATCAAGGATATAACTGTTTTGTTATATTATATGAAGTGTTTATATCTTACCAGAAAAACTCGTTTAAATCGTCATAATTCCTCCATGTTGAATGATCCGTTGTTCCATTTTTGTTTTTCATAGCTTCCTTCAGTAAATTGGTGGAAAAATTCTAAATATTCACAAAAAAAAAAGTACTTCCAAGTCAACCAGTCTAAGAGTCAAAGTACCTCACGTATAACCTCGTATATCGGAGAAATAACTTTGCTTAGGAAAGCCTCAAATCCTCCTCCATATGCCGGCATGACTATTTCTCCAGTTATCAAACTGACTGCACCACTCAACATGCCATGCAATTCGCTTGCCATCTGGAACCAACCCATGCAAGAATAAGGTTTTCGAAGTATCGCGTTAAGGGGACAAGTTTTGTGAAGAGTTAGTTTAATTTTCATACTTCATTTTATGCATATTTAGAAATTTAATCAGGTCAAATGTTTTTGATAGATTTTTATGAGTAATGAGATTAATGGCATTTTTGTAACTACAAAGATTAGAATGCAAGTTTGCCTGTTGAACAGTTGAAAAACGAAGAATGGAAAATCGAAGATCTGAAAATGAAAATCACACCTCAAAATATCATGCAAATGTTAATACAGATTGACTTGAGCTAGTGAATTAAACCTTAGAGGTCCCCGATGTTTTCTGAATATCAAGTTGACATGCTAATAAGTCTAATTTTAATCCAATTGTCTTAATGTGAGCACCGACAATTTGCGAAAGTATCAGCTAGATGACGGCATAATGAACTTACATGGTGGAATATATAACAGAGACATTCTGGCATAAACCTTAAGTTTGCCGCTTCTCCCCATATTAATAAATATAGTGCTATATACAGAACCTTATATTGTAGAGCTTCTTGTTTTAAATACGGCAACCTGACAAAGAAAACGAAATACACAATGAATACACCAAAATAATATCTAATCAATTATAGAGGGAGTGAAGGGCACTAGTCCAGAAAGAAAACTAAGAATACAATATTCTAGTGCTTGATGACGTTGAACCGAACTTCTTTTATCAACACTTCCACTAAAGAAAATTATGTTGCTACTTAAACTAACGAAAATACATAATTTTATTCTCACCGGATATTGCTTTTTCTGTCGAGAAACTTGCACCACTCTGTATAGTTTTTGAAGAATTTCTTCATCAGTTCATCCACATTTCCATCCGCTAACTAAAATCCAACAAAAAAGGCAGTTCTCAGAGATGGTACACAAAGAAATTAATAAGAATCTTGTAACTGAAAATTTCAGTTAGAATATTAAGGTATTACCTTTGATGCTTGTTTATGAGTCTGTCTGATATGCGAATTGGCAAGTAAAAGGATTAAATGCTCCCTCTGGTTGGTAACATTTCCTTTCTAATGAATGTTGACAAATAAGGTCCGTTAAATAAATATGAAGATAAATAGACGATGCAATCAGGGGAAAAAAAATGACAGAGCACCTGAAATCCGAAGCAAAGCTGAAGCCAATCAAGCAAATCCATATATGGAACACGCCTTTTAAATTCCTCAGAGAAAGGCAAACCTCGAACGTTTCCGACAATAACAATTGCATATTTGATCTGTAGAGTTCTACATTTTATCAAAAGTTATTTCATTTATCATAGTATATATAAACTAGCTAGAGAAATGCCTGGCTAAAAAAACATTGTATTTAATAGGAACAGACCTCGGGAAGTTGCATTATGGCTTGATGAACACCTCCTTGATCGAGAGGGAGAATGTTATAAGGCACAAAGAATTCGGATCTTGCATGGTCAGTGTCAGCAAGGGCCTAAACAGAAAAACAAAAATACATATAAGACTTAATATATTACATGTAAAATGGGATAATCGAGTGAAAACGGGTCTTACACCAATCAGAAATATAAAATCAAATAAATCACGGGGCAAGAGAAAAAACGGAAAACGTAAAATGAGATGCAAGAAAACCTGGGGACCTGCTGCAGAAGTAACAGTATGTAATACTTCATATAAAACAGATGCAATGGCACGTGCTTTGATCAGCTTTTCCCTGTAAGAAGGGTTCAACACCAATATACATGATATGAGTAAATATTTATGAATAGTTTATTCCTATTGCGGATTTGGGAACAACAGGGTTTTGAGCAGAGTGGGAGTGGTCACCTAGTTTCCAAAGTATATTCTCCACCGTGTTTGATGATGTAGTCTTTGTACTCCCGATACACACGTCGTAGCTCACGTAAATCGCTCTTCTCCTTCCTTTTTCTAATTGTAACTTCTTCATCCTAAAAATATTTGTAGGTATAATATAAGATTTAGTACACGTTAGAGATTGAATGCTCTTGGACAGTGATGCAAATGTCTTTGGAAATATATTGGTGTGACCGTAAAACATAAAGAGAGTACGGATTTCAACTTCGCAAAAAGTTGAGAGAGCTTTTTAACTTGAATCTGAAACTGTACGTACCTGTTCAAGCCTCTGAAGAAGAGAAGTTTTGAACTGTCGAACCCCACGACCACTTGAATTTCGGTCCAAGTTATGTGCTACTTCAAAGGCATGAAAACGGCCTGCCCACAGAGAATTCAATCAATCATTGTTAGCACACCAACCCTTAAACACACACACACAAGTGTCGTGCAAGTAACTAGAAGTTTGGAAATTAGATTCTTTGTCAAAGATTTTCTCAAGTTCTCAAAAAAGTGTCCAAACTTGGAGAAGTTTGTCTTAATTTCCATTTCTAAGATGAATCATAACCGAAACAAATGTCGATGAACTATTTTTAACTTAACTCTTACTAGAAATAGATTATCTGCAGAAAAAATAAATAAAAAATCACACTGTACATACACATCAATGATCTTTAGACCTGTTCCCCTTCTTCACTCACAGGTGTATTAAATGTTTTTTTAAAATATTAAAAATTATGATTTTCTTTCCCCTCTACTTCGTTGTCGTTCAAACCGCTACAAAAATCCGATATATCAGACTATTGCGGCCTCCGGCCAATTTTTTCCCTGTTTCCCACTGTTTCACTAAGTGAAGACTCTGTAAACCACATTTCCAAAAATCCAACATTCAACCATACAGAATTCTCCACACACAACAAAATCAATCTATTCGTTAACTCGAAACTACATATAATCCACGGAGTTAGTTTATTTTTGGTTTATAACTACTAAAAACACTTACTATTAAAAAAAAAAAAAAAAAAAGAAAAAAAAAAAACTAGTTAATTATATGTGATTAAGACTCACAAAGATAAGCAACGCGGGGCTCATCAATCTCAATCTGATTGGCCACACGAAGAAACCTCTGAATCTCAGAAACCAAAGTTACCGGCAATTTCTCACTATCAAATGGCTCCGGCACATGCTCCCGCCCTAAAGTGATCGATCTCGTGAACGGCCGCTGGTCGGTCGTCGTATAAGCCGATCTTCTGCCTCCGCCGCCGCCGCCGCTGGTGCTTGCTCGATTTCGGTCGCCGTCTGTGTGTTCTGCGACGACAATTTCCGACATCGTCTGTGCGGCGAAGAAGATACTGGATTTGGGGGCGAACGAGAGTGTGAAATTGCATGGGGCAATGAGTGTGTGTATATGTATTGTTGAATCTTTGGTGTATATGCATGCTTTTTTGATGGGGTTTAATTTTCTATTGAGCTGCTTTTTTGGTTATGGGGTGTAATCTTTTTTCTTCGCTTTTGCTTTTTGATGAAATCAGGAAATTGCTGTGTGTGTGTGTGTGTGTGTGTGTGTGTGTTAGGCGGGCAAAAGGTGAAATGAATTAATTTATTTAAAAATAAAATTAGACACGCTTTTTCCCAAAAAGAAAAAGAAACAAAAGTAGAAGTTAGACTAATATGAAATCCGGTCGTTTGTTCGATTATTTTGTTTAGGTAGTGTAGTAAGGAATCCTGCGTTCCATCTTATTTTACTATTTGGTAAAGAGAAAAAAATATTCTCATATTATTTATGGTTTTAGGAGTTCCTTTTTTATCAACTATATACTTTAAAATTGTAGAAAAAATGGGCAATTTGCTAAACACCTGAATGTTAATATGTTTTTAAATCAGGACAGTCGGATTTTTGCAATTTGTTAAAAGTTATTTGTTCTTCACGCCTTGCATCTGTTCTAATTGTTCTTCGTCCAACTCCGTTGCACCTCGTCAAATATGCTCCACGCCATCATCAAAGTTTTGACACAAATGCATACACACATAACCACACACCTAGATACACACATACGATTTTCGTTATACTCATCCATCTTCGTTGTAACCTAATAATCATGGAAACCAAAAAGGAAATATATGAAGAATTGTTTGGTGATAGTAATGTTGTTGATGATGTAGACACCACAGATTTTAAGTTTTTCTCTTCACTTTATTTTTTCTAAGTTGTGTAACTAAGCTATGCAAATAAACTTTCTAAATTGTCAACTTTATAGTAAAATTATATGAAATACGTGTTTTTTTCTAAATTCTTTATCAATAATGTAACCAATTAACTCTGTAAATAAGCTTTATAAGTTGTCTGTGTAAGTTGTGTATATGTTGTGAGATGCATCTATTCTTATTTTAGTTTTTTTTCTAATGCATTTTAACTAAACTACTTTAAATATAACTAAACTGTGCAAATCGCCGTTACTATCATTGTTAGTTTTATTTTAACTAGGTTGTTATTTATTAATATAACCAAATTGTGCAAATCACCGTCACCATTACTGTTAGTTTTCCTAAGCAATTCCGTTAGATAGAGTCCAGACCTAGTGTCACATCCAGAGTAAAAAGGACACTATGACTTTTAGCAAATAGCATTAAGTCACTTGTCCTCTAAGCTATAAAAAGATATTTGTGAGGGAGGAAGAGCTAATTACCTTCTCAACTTATTTGGTATTCCCTTCATTAATTAATTTAGTTTTTTCTTCCTCAAAAAAAAAAAAAATTAGTTTTTTCTTGTTATTTGCCTATTTGTTAATTATTTGTAGTAAAGCTCTTCTTACCTTATGATCTCACCAATTCCAGATCTTAAAGACTGGTAAAAAAAAATAACTATTGTACACTAATATATCAGATCGAAAGCTGCCTTAATTTATTGCTTGCTGTAATAACCTTTTTCTTTATTAATTATTTCCTAAATCAGTAATTGTGCTCTCTAAGTTGTCTTCCAGGAGTTATTAAATATTCAAGAAAAAAAATATATATACAAATAAGCAATAAAAACTATATATTTTCACTGACCAAACACTTGGTGAAAAGCTTTTTAGAAAGCACCTATACATATTTCTTTTTTTCTCAGTAAAAAAATAATAATCATCAATCAACTTTTCTTTCTTATTATTAGATTAATTAGAACACGGACTGAGATCCAAGGATGTGTTAGTGGTGAGTGCTTGTCTTGTGGGGTATATTTTATTAGCTTTTTTGTAAAAAAAGTTTATCAAGACTCAGAATTATTGGTTTCTTTATACCATAAGAGATTGTCAAATGCAGAATGATATGTATAGTTTGTCAAAAGCAGTTTATATATTTATGGAAAAGTGGCACATTCTTTTTTGCAATTTTTTTCTTCCTTCCTCTCTAAGAATAAGAAAGATGAATTAATTATGTGGCAAGTCTTATTTTTTATTTATTTATTCTGGTTGGTTGGGGTTTAATGTTTTTATATTTAGTAGCTACTCTTGATTATATCCAATGGGTTATTTTAACGATTAAAAAATTAACAAAATAAGGTTGAGATTGGATTAAGACTAAATTTACTACATTTAAAGAGGTTACGTGTAATTACAACTTATGTACTTGCGTTTCGGAAACGTTTCGGGTTAGAAATTTGAAGACACTTGCCAGACACCTTATGGGCCATTTTGTAATTTCAAAAAATTTAGAAACATGTTTGAATAGCAAAATTTTAAATATTTTCTATGTTTCCCAAATTATTTGCATGATGTAATGATCAATTGCAAATTGATAGTTGATATTAAAATTTATTTTGAATATGTTTGTATAAAAATATATAAAAATAATTTATGTATAAATAAAAACTTATATATGTTTATATAAAATAATTATAAATATACCGTACACTTTTAATATTTTCACGTTTTGCTCAACTTCTCGTGTCCCTAGTTTTGAAACATGTTGTTTCCATGTATCCGTTTACCCGTTTCCCCGTATCTACGCTTCCGTTTCCGTGCTACATAGATTATAACTACATCTCCTTGAATTAGAAAAAAAAAAAAAAAAAGATACTAAAACCCAAGCCTCTCATGAAATTTGGAAGAAAAAAAAGTATAATGTAAAATTTCAAGGAGATGTATGTAATTTTTCTAAACTAGAAGAGGTATAATGTAACTCTTACGGTTTTTTTTCATGGGCGAATGGCAAAAAGGCCCATCACATGGGACTTATATGCATTTTGGTCCACAAAAAAAAAACAGTTTTTCAATTAAAACTATCCCCATGTCTTTAGTCTAAACTACCATCTATAATATAATTCTTATCAATTCCACCCATTATGCTCTAACTTCGTTAATATTACACATTGACCCCGGATTTAAACAAATATATCACATTAACCCCCAAATTTTTTTTTCTGAAAATAATTTTTTTTTCTGAAATGTTTTTTTTTTCCGGTCAGATTCTGGCGTTGACCGCCGGAGACCGCCGGTCTCCGGCGTTGACTTTTTTTTTTTCTTTTTTTGATATTTTTTTTCTTAGAAAAAAAATATTTTAATTAATATTACTGTCTTGGCTACTAAATTACTTTCTCAGACAGTAATATTACTGTTTCGGACAGTAATATTATGAATATTATTTTCCCGAACAATAATATTGCTAATATTATTGTCTAAGACAGTTAAATTACTGTTGGAGACAGTAATTTAACAGCCAAGGCAGTAATATTAATTAAAATAACTTTTTTTAAGAAAAAAAAAAGGTCAATTAACAGTTAAATTACTGTCTCCGATAGTTAAATAACTGCTGGAGACAGTAATTTAACAACGAATACAGTAATATTAATTAAAAATACTTTTTTTTAAGAATAAAAAAGTCAATTAACAGATAAATTACTGTCTCCGACAGTTAAATAACTGTTGGAGACAGTAATTTAGCAACGAATACAGTAATATTAATTAAAAATTTTTTTTTTAAGAATAAAAAAGTCAACTAACAGTTAAATTACTGTCTCCGACAATTAAATAACTGCTGGAGACAGTAATTTAGCAACTAATACAGTACTATTAATTAAAATATTTTTGAAGAAAAAAAAAAAGCCAATTAACAGTTAAATTACTGTCTCCGACGGTTAGATAACTGCCGGAGACAGTAATTTAGCAGCCACGACAGTAATATTAATTAAAATATTTTTTTTAAGAAAAAACATAATTATAAAAAAAAAAAAAAAAAAAAAGTCAACGCCGGAAACCCGAGCGGTCAACGGCAGTTGACCGGCCAAAAAGATTTTTTTGGAAAAAATAGGAATTAAAAAAAAAAAAAAAAAAGTCAACGCCGGTCAACAGCGGCGGCGGGCGGTCTACGGTGGTGGCGGGTCAAAATTGGGGTCAAAATTGAAATTATGGTTAAAATTGGTTAATTGATGAAATTGAGCTAAATTGGGGTGTAAATCATGAAATTGGACTTGAATTGGGTTTCAATGAATTGGGGGTAATTTTGGTATATATAAAGGGATATTCCTTATTTGGAAATAAGTTTAAATGAGCTGGATTTATTTGGAAAACAAAAAAGTTGAATGTCCCTCTTTTAATTAAGTGCCCTTGTCATGGGCCTATTTGCCATTTGCCCTTTTTTCATATATATATATATATATATATATATATATATATATATATATAAATCTTTTATTTATAAATGATATTTGAGATGAATCCAATAGGCCTGAAAAATAATATATGTGTAGACATCGAAATTTTGAGATAAATCACCAATTAATAATCCAATAAATCGATTATTAAATTGGGTCTCATTCAAAGTCCATAATAAATTTGGGCTTTACAAATGACCGGTCCGTCCTACAAGTCAAGAAACCCTAGCTCGTGGCTATAAATAGACGGCTTCGGTGCATCTAAAAATCAGACTCACACAGACACATATCGAGCTCTCAAGCTCACGTCCCGAGCCTCCGCCTCGAATTCATAACATATTTGAATTCGAGATGTTCGTGACAGGAAATCATATATTCGATTCCTCCAATTCATAACATATTTAAATTCGAGATGTTCGTGATAGGAAATCATATGTTCATAACATATTTAAATTCGAGATGTTCGTGATAGGAAATCATATGTTCGATTCAAGAACAAACTTTTAAGCCCTTGAATCAAAATTAGAATAGGAGAGAAGAATCAGGGGAATCACGGAGATTTGTAATCCGCTTTCGTTTGATTAATAAATTTATTTGTTCCCTATTTTTCTTGTCTCGTATTTATTATATTTTGCAGACTCGAAAAATTTGTGGTTTACAAATTGGCACGCCCGGTGGGACAATCTTCGCCCCTCATCTCTTCCTCCGATACCAAATTCCATGTTCATCCGACGATTCCCACAAAGAATAAGCCTTGGTGTTGTTATTGCTACTGGTAATTAAATTACATTGGGGGCAAACTAATTAACAACACTCCGTCAAATACCTCAAATTCCTTGCTATTCGTGGATATGGATGGCAAAGAAAAGGGGAAAAAAGGCATAACTCTATTTTTATTTGGGAACAAAGCAGGCAAAAGAATCATAAATATATGATGGAAAATATCATAGATATTTTGTCTTTTTCATGGTCAACAGGATATTGCAGGAAAGAATTTCGAAATTCTTGCATAGTGCAATAAAAAGGAAATTTTCCTTTGTTACATATGGCAAATAATGCAGACTTTTGTATACTCATAGGATTTGCCAAATCTTTATGTTGAGGGAAATTTCCTAAAAAATCAGGAAAGTTCAGCCCAAAAAGAAAAGGAACACAGGCCATGGCGATAAGCAAAGCTCCGACGATGGACCCACGGCAAACATCCCCACATGGACCATTATGTAACTCTCTCCACCCCATCTAATCAAGGAGGCTGCCGGAATATGTGTGCCCATAAACGCCACATCGCCGCCGAAAGCCCTTGCCCGTGTTTTCACATTACCGAGTCGTTCCAACCTCCACTCGTCCACACCATCGGAAGTGTCGCACCTCCTCTTCTACCACCTGAAGCACTCACAGGTCTCATCACTTTGCCGTCGCTGCAAGGAGAGTTGGGTTTCTTTGAGGATGGTGCTGCAACAAGCTTGGCCCATGTCTTCTCCACAGACACAAGGCATGCAATAGGCGGAAGACACAAGGCAATAGGCGGAGAACACTCCACGATGGCACTCCGTTCCGCCGCTTCAACCTCGCCACCGACCGGAAACGTCATCACCGCGTAAAGCACTCAACGTTGTTATCTCATGTTCCCACCGCCGCAAACATTTAGCCGCTCAGATCCGCCTCATCAAACTCACCCTCGACTGGAGGACCGCGCCGCCTGTTCTCTCGAAGACATAAAGATGGTTGCGTACGAGCCAAATCTCACCCCATTGCCGCTCCTCCTTGCTGCAGTCCGTGGTCGACACAATCACGATATACATAAATGGCAGCTCAATACAAATCTCGTTAAACCCGCGAGAAGGGAACGAGAGTTGGTGAAAGGTTGAATTCCAATGGCGGATGGCAACCAAAATATGTCGCCCGGCGGTGGAATGGTAGCAGTGAAAATGGAGAAGAAAATTTTGGTCGGCTGAATAAAGAAGGCGGGGCAGAAAAATCAAATCCTCCAATCAAGTCTTAAATTGCAATTGGGTCCCTAGGTGGAAAAGAAAGAAATATCACTTTTGCCTCAAATTTCAACCCTCCAATAACAAAAGTGGACTTTTCATTGAAGTCCCCAAAAGTGATGGCAATTTCATATACACCCAAAAAATGGTGGAAACGGATTTTGGAGCCAACAAAGAAACCAAAAAAAAAAAAATCAAAGTCTTGCCTTTTACAAGTATTTGGTATGTTTTTCACCGGATACTTCAAGTCTCGCCTCTCAAGTATTACGCATGTTCTTCGCCGATTCTTGAAGTGGGGGCATTTGTTGACACCGAAATTTCACTAATTAATGGCCAAATAAATCGGTTATTAATTGGGTCTCGAATCGAGGTCCATAACAAATTTGGGCTTTACAAATGGATTAATCCTTAAATAAGTAATAAATTCTTATTTTACGGATTATCTAATTGGGCTCGAATCTAGCCCAATAAATCAAATGGCAAGTATTCAAGTCCATCGGCCCATGCTACAAGTCAAAACCCTAGCTCGTGCCTATAAAAAGCGACCTTTGATGCATGCAAAAAATGAGACTCACACAGACACATATCGAGCTCTCAAGCTCACGTCTCGAGCCTCCGCCTCGAATTCATAACATATTTGAATTCGAGATGTTCGTGATAGGAAATCATATGTTCGATTCAAGAACAAGCTTTTAAGCCCTTGAATCAAAATTAGAATAGGAGAGAAGAATCAGGGGAATCACGGAGATTTGTAATCCGCTTTCGTTTGATTAATAAATTTATTTGTTCCTTATTTTTCTTGTCTCGTATTTATTATATTTTGCAGACTCGAAAAATTTGTGGTTTACAATATGCCCCGACTAATTATTAATTACTATAATTATTTAATATAAAAAAAATTAGGGGTTATATGAGATAACCCCTCATACAAATTTGTTAGAGGTATAAATCCATATTTTTATTTACTATTAGGGATAACCCCTCATTAAGGTTAATACCTCATTTACCCTTATTATATTCATAAAAGTATAATTAAATTATTATTGCTAAAGTAACTCCCCTAAAATAACTTCCCTTAAATCTCTCACCAACTCCCCCAAATCTCTCACTAAATGCAAATCACGGCATATCAATTTCCTTTTGATTATTTTTACAATCTTTTTGTAATTTTGATTTAAACTTTTTTTTTTCAATTTCCATTTTTTTAATTAGTTTTTTTACCGCAAGTTTAACAAAAAATTAAAATCCACTACATACTCATTGAACACCACTATAAATTCATCTTTTACAATCTTTTTGTAATTTCGATTTAAAAAAATATGTTTATTTTTTTCAATTTCATTTTTTTTATTGTTTTTTTTACCGCAAGTTTAACAAAAAATTGAAATCCACTACATACTTATTGAAAACCACTATTCGATTAACATAGAAATCAGTATGAAATTATCGCAATCAACTTTAATATTAATATAATGCACCACAAACGTATCGAAATCGAATAAAAATTTACATAATCCACTACGAATTAACGTAATGTATTACAAAATTATCAAAATCCACTACATTAGTGTAATATATGGATTGAAATCCACTACATACTAATTGAAAACCACTATAAATTCATTGAAAAGCACTATTCGATTAACGTAGAAATCAGTATGAAATTATCGTAATCAACTTTAATATTAATATAATGCACTACAAACGTATCGAAATCAAATAAATATTTACATAATCCACTACGAATTAACGTAATCCATTACAAAATTGTCAAAATCCACTACAAAGTTATCAAAATCCACTTTATAGGTTAAAGTAATCCACTACAAAATTAACGTAATATATGGATTGAAATCCACTACATACTCATTGAAAACCACTATAAATTCATCGAAAACCACTATTCGATTAAAGTAAAAATCAGTATAAAATTATCGTAATCAACTTTCATATTAATATAGTGCACTACAAACGTATCGAAATCGAATAAATATTTACATAATCCACTACGAATTAACGTAATCCATTACAAAATTATCAAAATCCACTACAAAGTTACAAAAATCCACTTTATAGGTTAAAGTAATCCATTACAAAATTAACGTAATATATGGATTGAAATCCACTACATACTCATTGAAAACCACAATAAATTCATCGAAAACCACTATTCGATTAACGTAGAAATCAGTATAAAATTATCATAAAACCAACTTTCATATTAATATAGTGTACTACAAACGTATCGAAATCGAATAAAAATTTACATAATCCACTACGAATTAACGTATTCCATTACAAAATTATCAAAATCCACTACAAAGTTATCAAAATCCACTTTATAGGTTAAAGTAATCCACTACAAAATTAACGTAATATATGGTTAATCCACTAAAAACTTATCGTATAAAAACACTTATGCATCAACAACAAACTTATCAAAATCCACTACAAGCTTCCGAATTTATGATAGTGTTGCTCGTGGTTTTCGTTAGGTTAGAGTGACCCGGTGATAAACACTACAAACTTATCATCACCCAACATCGTCCCACTTGCTGCCATCACCCGCTTGTGCAAGAACCTAAACCAAAGAAAAATAAGACAACTACGTGTCAATTTAATTCATTCACTAAAAATCGGTCTCCAAAGCAAGAATTTAAAATCCACTATAATCTCGTCAAAACCCACTACAAAAATTATCGAAATCCACTAAAATATTAACATAATCCACTACGAAATAAGTTAATCCACTAAAAAATTACAACAAAAGTATAATAACAAATACTGAAATAGTGACCGAAAAGAGCCTCAAAAGTATATTGAAAATCTCATATATATAATAGCTCATTCAACAATTCGACTAGTTGTCACTTCTATTTTGTTAACCATCATATATAATTTATTTATGGATATAGAGAAAAAATGACAGCAATAAAAACAGCAGCAAACCAACATCTTAAACAGCAGCAAAGCAACACGAAAACAACAGCAAAACGGCAACAAAATCAGCTGCAAATTAGGAGCCAAACAGCAGCAAAGCCAAAAGAAAACAGCAGCAAAAACAGCAGCAAAAAACAGCAGCAAAGAACAGCTGCAAAATAGCAGCCAAACAATAGCCAATTGCAACTAAAAAATACAATAAATCAAAAAATAATTCTAAATTTTGAGGAAAAAAATATCCAAAATTTTAAAATATTTTTGGAAATTATGCAATTTTCGATAATATTTAGTGCTTCACCTTATTATTTCGTATTGTATTCCTTACTAAAAATTATCAAATTTCAAAACCAAAACATGTTTGAAATCAAACATTATCAAATTTCAGAACTAAAACATGTTTGAAATTAGAAGATTTTTTGCACTCATTCACCGTTATCACAAAGTTATTCATGTGAATCAAGTTTTATATTTTCATGGAGTTCTCTTTTTTTCATGAATCAACATTAGTATATATATATATATATATATATATATATATATATATATATATATATATATATATATATATATATACACACACACATACACACACAGGGGAATGAAATTCCCCACAAATACATACCTGATCGGAACACCAATATCACGAAGTAATGTTCTGCACAAAAATCCCTCACAAAGATCTGCTTGTCGATTTCAGATCTGATTTTCGGGATTAAGCCTTGTCATCATCGATTTTTTCTGGTTCTGTCTTCTCTTGTGTTTTATGTCATGGTGGTCCTTCATTCCGCCCGCCAAGAGAAGAAAAGCGGAAGAAAGAGTGGGTGGATGGGGAAGATATCGAATTCCGCCGCCGAGCGAAGAAAAACGGAAGAAAGAGAGGGCGGATGGGGAAGATGGAGATATGGATCGAGAGAAAGAGTGAGGGAGAGAAAAACGTGGCTAGGGTTAAACTACGTGAGATTTGGGTGGGTTTGGTGCAGGGTATAATTGTACTATATATTTTAAAATAAAATTATGGATTTATCTCAAAGAGGTGAAAAAAGAATGGACCCCCTCTAATAGGAAATGTCATATGAGGGGGTTTTGTCAAATAATCCCAAAAAATTAAACCCATAAACTACACCCAAATCTTCTCCAAAAATTATTCCCCACATCATGCCAATTCACTTTTTTTTTCCTTTTCTTGTTTATTTTGTTTAATGGTTTATTTTTTTTTCGAGTTAAAAGAAAATTTTGTAATTATTTTAATATTTTTTTCAGTTTCTTATTTTAAATTTTTTTTCTTATTTATATTTTTCATGTTTTTTATTTTAATTTAAAAAAATGGTTTTATTTTTATTTTTGTTTTTTCATGGTTTTTCTTTTTTCTTAATTTCAATTTTTTTTTAAATGGTTTTTTTTTTTTAATTTTCTTTCCGGTTATTTTAAATAAAAACCACTTTATATAAACATGAAAACCACTTTGTATAAACAACTATATAAACATGAAAACCACTATGTATAACAACTATATAACATGAAAACCACTATGTATAACACCGATATAAACTTGAAAACCACTATGTATAACAACTTTGTCAGCATAAAAACCACTCTATATATAGAGTTATATAAAAATCCGTACAAAAATTATTGAAAACCACTATAATTTTTTTACAGATTTTTATAGTGGTTTATGTAAAATATTGAAAACCACTATAAAAATATGTACATAATTATTGAAAACCATTATAAAATTCTGTAAATAATTATTAAAAACCACTCCACATTTCCAGTCATTAGTTTATGCTCTGAGGCTAACGCAAACTTGAAACCTCGTATTGCTCAATCGATCCGACGCAACCCTTTGCGAAAACTTTCATAATCCCACGGACACGATTGTGATTGGCCAAAAGATTCGTGCAGAAACGGTACTAATGATTTCACTCTTCCGACAAAGGGGCAAACCAAGAACCGGAGAATCTGAGACCGCGTGGTGGCGTCCTTGACCTGCACATAAGCCGTCTCCGCCGCATCGATGGGGGAAGATCCTTTGCCACGGCGAGGAATGACCGTCGGTTTCCTACACCATAAACACCATACACCACCAATGTCGAAAACATACCCTACCATTACTTGAACAGGATGAAACATTTTTTTTGTTAGAAAAGAAAATCATAACATATACGAGAAGCAAAGAAAAAAAACAAAGAAATTAGAAAATCAAACATCTGTTAATGAAAATCATAACATATATGAAAATAAATAATTCAAGCCCTCCAATGGACTTGTTGGACCTGACATCAAACCAATATTATAATTTATTTTGCATTAGATTGAGGAAAAAAATGTATGATTTTATGCTAATATTATGGTTTTAAATAATTTAACATACAATAGTTTTTTTTTATTTTTTATTTTTTAATTCCGTATGATGAGAGAAAGTTGGCGACTCGAAGAGGAGACATGAGGCGAGGGTTGCGTTCGGAGATTAAGGACCGAGATTTGTGGGGTTTTAATTAAAAAAAAATATTACGTTACATATTCCTAAGCCTAAGATAGGTTTTAGATTAGTATAAGGGTATAATAGTGAAACTTAGTTAATCTTAATACATTAAAAAGGATTTGGATTTGGATTTGTTTTAAAATCTAGAAAAAAAATGGACTCTTTATAAATGTACATGTATAACCATGGGGATTTGTCAAATAACCCAATATATATATATATATATATATATATATATATATATATATATATATATATATATATATATATATATATATATATATATATATATATATATATATATCATTTTCTTCTCTATTACAAGAAGCATTGTAGTCCCTATTCCTTCCATATTTATTGGTGGATTAAAAATGTTATCAGTACTTGCAGGATTCAAGATTATCAATACTAATTTGTCCAAAATCAGATGATGATAAACTATCAGAATTTTCAAAGAAATTATCAATTTGTATAAGATCGGAATAGTGAGACTATGAATAGTAAAACACAAATAACCTGGCGAGACACGTAAAGTTTTTCTGTGACAAGATTAAAACAACAACGATATCCTTTTTGACCTACACCATAATCTAGGAAAACATAAATAGTTGATCGAGATGACAACTTATTACATTTGACATGAGGACGAGCAACTAAATACGTACAACCAAAAACCTTAAAAGACGAGAATAAGCAGGAGCACAAGATAAACCTGAAATCTGAGAGAGTGGAATAGTGTTTACTGAATCATTGAATGAACGGCAGTAAGAACAACTTTACCCCCAAAAGTTGTTAGGAACATAAGCAGATAACAACAATGATCGAGCAGTTTCAATAATATGCATATGTTTTCTTTTAACGACACCATTTTGCTCGGGCGTGTCAGTACACGAAGTTTGATGAACAGTTTCATTTGAAGCAAACAACTCAGAGAATTTATTGGACGTATATTCTCCACCTAAATCACACCTAAAACATTTTATAACAATCGAATGTTTTGTTTGGACAATAGCTCTAAAGGCTTTATAAATATCGAAGAACTCAGAAGTGTGTTTCATGAGATAAACCTAATATAATAACGAGTATAATCATCAATTAATGAGACATAATAACGAGAGCCTCCTCTAGTAGGAATATGAGAATGTCCCACAAGACCTCATAGTGAATTCACTTAAAATGAGAATGAAAAACAAATAGACTTTTATAAAGGGTGAATGAGAAACAAATAGATTTTTGTTAACGGTGAATTGCATTTAAACCAACTAAACTTTGCCCGTCGCGGATTATCACCTCACAAAAAAAAAAAAAAAAAAAAAAAAAAAAAACTTTGATCCCACCTGAATTCAATAAATTGTGCCACATTGATAGTTTTTTTTAGTATCAAGCGAAATGGCTGGAATTAGACCCATGTGCGTTGCCCATGCAATTTGGAAGAGCTTTTTTGTCTTTTCAAAATCAAAATTCCTAATTCCTCTAATTCTTCCATTTTTTTTCTTCAATTTTCTTCCGCTCCTTCTTCGCTCTTCTTCATCTTTTTCGTAAAGGAGAAGCCAATTAACTCTTTCCACATCTACATTCTCCATCGCTTGCAGCTACACCCATGGAGACGACTCCCCTGGTTTCACCAAATGCTTGGGCGGCATTTGGACCAGCCAAAATCGCTACTTGTGGATCGATTTGGGAGCTGCACCTGTTGATTACAGGCCGCCTTATCAGGCAACAGTGTATACCAAAAGGCGAGTTCCATCCCAGCACTCTATGGCCGACCCAAGTCACAAGAGGCATTGCTTTCGGACTTTGCCTCGTGAGAGTGGTGTGCTTATCAGGTATTCCTTGTCCCGTCTTTGAGAATTCATGTGCCCTTTGATATACATTCATATACATGGTGATTGTAGGCACGTAGTCTGGGTTTGGATTGGAAGCCGAAAGAGAGAAAGAAGAAAAAAATTATAGAAGTGGAGGAGGAAGAAGAGCGATGAAAAAGTAAAAGAATATGGAAAAAGAAATAAAAGAATTAGAAAAATTAGATATTGTGATTCTGAAAAGACAAACAAACCTTCCATATCGCATGTGTAACGCACATAGGTCTAATTCCGGCCATTTTCGCCTGAAAATTCAACAAAAAAGGGGGGGGGGGGGGGGGGGGGGGTAACGTGGCACAATTTTATTGAGTACAGGTGGGATTGAAGCTTTTTTTTTTTTTTTTTTTGTTGTTGATGTGGTAATCCACAAAAGGGGGCAAAATTTAGGGGGTTAATGCTATTTATCCTTTACTAAATGGTAATGCATAATTTTTTGCCAATTTGCATCCCAATACAACTAAAAATATCATGTGTTTTCAATTTTCCTAAAGCTCCAATGAAGGCTAAAAACCTTAAACGAGAAGTAGAAACATAACCTAAATGAGAATGTCGTAAGCAAAAATAGAAGAAGGACTCAAACAAAAAGAAGACAAATTAGCATTGCTAGTAGAAGCTATTGACACTTATAGCTCATCCAAGCTATATGTATACTGATGGCGAGCTTGTGTTTTTCTTTAAATATATAAGTACTTTTTTCTTTATTTGCTTATGTTTTAGTATAAATATGATCATTTATTAAAAAAAAAAATAGTATAAATGTCTCAAATGGTTTTTGTCAAGGGTCCACTGGCCTACTCTCGATCCATATTTATTACGATATATGATATACTTGTTTTTTGTTACTCCAACCAATTTATATTATTTAACCCACACAATCATGGAAAGTTTCACAAAATGAATATGCGAAAGGCACAATTATATCATATAAATAATTTACAAGGTTAATTGTAACTAAGTGCAAGTAGTTTGCGTAATCATATCAGCAAGGTGAAATTTTTGTTTTAACTATATGCAATTGGTGCTGTGAAAAGTTAATTTATTGTACTGCTGGAAATAGAAGGTATGTGAGGGGTAGGTGTCATTTTCCATCCAACTTAATAGAGCATATAAACGACGGACCAATTCTGCTAAAAACGGCATGATTGGGGGCTACTAATGTAACTCCAAAATGTTTAGGCCATTTTGAAAAAAAAATGATAAAGTTTGAGGACGAAAAAATGTATTTTTTGATAAATACACTTTTCGTCCCTATACTTTGTCACTTACTCGATTTTCGTCCTTCAACAAGATGAAGTTACAATTTTCGTTCCTAAACATGTCACTCTAATGATGTTTATGTCCTTCCGTCCATTTACCCAGTTATAATAGACGGAAAATAGTATATGCGAACGCACGTGACATCAAAGGCACCCCCCCCACCCCCCCCCCCCCTAAGGGGGCAATAACGTTCAGATCGCACATTGCAAGTAACACAATCTGCCATAATTCTCTCTTGAAATTCAAATGCCCTCTTTTCCAAATCCCTAATTTCTTCCACATCTCACCTGTAAATTTCTACCTTCTAGAAGAAAAAAGCGTTCAATCACCAATAGTTTTATAGATTACAATTTCTAGAGT